TTTTTGCAGTGGTGGTTTCATCTCCCCAAGCCTGAGGGGCAGCACCATGGCCTCAGCCTAAATTGTAGTATAAGGGAGACTGGGTGGGTTGTGCTGCTTGGAGCAGCTGAACTCTCTGGATCATAAAGAATATGGTCACACCAATGCATGCCAGCCCGATCACCACGGCGAGGATGTTGATGGTTCTTGCAGTGTTGGAGGCGCTCTTCGCTCCTGCAATATCTCTGCGTGCTAGGCACTCCTCCACCTGGGGACAGAGGCATGGGCTAATTAGGGACGACATTTTGTAAACTGCTTTCAGATCTGTGTGTCTTGTACCTAATAAACTGGCTTCCCCCACAACAGGTAGAATAAGAGATCTGTTTGACAGGCAGGTAAAAGAGAAACAGGACCAGATTCTGCTCGGTTATAAATTTAAAGTTGCTCCACAGATTTCACTGGAGTTACTCTGGATTTACACCAACAAAAAATGAGCGCAGAAACTGGCCCATCAAAGCAAAGGTCAGAGTTTTCAAAAGCAGCCCCTCATTTTTAGACATCAGTTTTTGGGCCCCCTTTGGCCTCAGAGGTGCTGAGTTCCTAGGAGAGCTGTTGGGTGCTCTCTGCACCCCTAAAACTAGTCCATAAGGTATCATGCTGGACAGACAATCAGTGGCTGTTCCCGAACATTTAGGCTTGACTGACTTGTCCAAGGCCATACAGCAGTCTGCTGCTCTCATGCCTGGAGAGGGGAGCTTCGTGCTTGGGTAGGTCAGCTCTCCCTCCTGGGTCAAGCTGATCCAAGTATCAGAGTGCGGGGTGGAATTTAGATTAAATCTCCTCCCTTTAACTCATCTGTGTTACAATTTGATTCTACTAGGGGATCCAAAGTCTCAGCCTCTCAAAGATACTGAGTTCATCTAGCCCAGTGATTCTCAACCAGAGTACGTGTAACCCTGGGGGTACGCTGAGGTCCTCCAGGGCTTACATCAACCCAGCTAGAGATGTGCCTAGTTTTACACTAGGCTACATAAAAACCACAATCGAAGTCAGTACAAATTAAAATTTCATACAGAGCATGACTTGTTTATACTGCACACACAAGTGTAAGTACAATATTTTTATACACAGATTTCTTTTATAATTATGTAGTAAAAATGAGAGAGGAAGCAATTTGTCAGTAAGAGTGCGCTGGGACACTTTTGTATTCTGATGTCTGGTTTTGTAAGCAAGTAGTTTAAGTGAGGTGAAACTTGGGGGTACACAAGACAAATCAGACTCCTGAAAGGGGTACAGTAGTCTGGAAAGGTTGAGAGCCACTCCTCTAGCTCTTGGTGGTATGACCACCTGCACAATGCTGTGGGGAAGAGTAACTTTGTACTGTTCCTTACTTCTAACAGAGGAATAACATTCCCACCCTCTGTCCAGAAAGCTATTTGCAACAGTGTTCTGCTGAAATAAGCCAGCAGTGACCCGCGTCATCAGAACAGCCAGGCTGAGCAACAACTTTGATGAATGAACCATCTAACTGAAAGAAGCCCCTTATCTGGTCTATGTTATCCTCCCATACATTGGTTACCTGACTGTTTCCCCACATACATTTTAATATCTTTTAGTGCTGGTGAGAAGGGTTTGCCGGCCTAGGAAGCAGTTGTGCAAGACTCCCCCAACTCTATTCAGTCAACACGTTTCACCTTGGGAGTAACCTGCCGCCTCCTGGAGGTGAGTTTCCTCCCCCCCCCCTCCCCCTTCCAAACCCTTCCAACACAGTGGAACAAATGAAACTTGTTCAGACCTGCTGAAGTTTCCATGAAACACTGTCAGCCAGTCACACCCCAATCCAGCAAAGCGCAGTAGTGTCACTGAAGTCCCAGTGGCTTTCACAAGGACTATATACTTGTGCTTAAGTGCTCTTCTGGATTAGGGTCTTGGAATGTGTCTACATTCGGGTTGAAGCCACCAGGGTAACTACACTAATGCAAACCCCGAGCGTACATGTGCTGCAGCGATGCAGTGCACTCTTGTTTCATACCACGCAGTGTGTTTACACTAGTTTACATTTGTGCAGCTGAGACCTTAATAGACCTGGCCAAAGTCTGGAACAACACAAGCAGGGTAGTGAGCTCTAGTGGCCAACAAATGAGTATTTTTAAAAAAATAACTTTGAAAGGGTCTCCTTGCATTTAATACACAAACTAAAATGCCCCAGTGTCTATTTAGAGATGGTCTCTCTCGTCACTGTATTTTAAACCCTGTTGCTTCCTGTTTTTGAAAGCTTTATGGGTTAGGCAGAAGCCACCGAACTCTGGGGTTTAGAAAGTTTTTGCTGCTCACAACAGAGCTGACATCTACTCTCAGCTGGGAGGAGAACAGAAAAGGCTGTTGGGGAAAAACTGCCCAAAGCCGTGAATTCCAAGGAGGGGGCTGGATGAGATGATGATTTTAATCAGTTTTCCGTCCTATTCCCCATCCCTCTATTCTCAGGTCCCAGTTAGCCAGCTCCTGCCAGGACGCCCCCACCCACAAACTGCCTGCCCATAAGCGGATGGGGTCAGAAGCAGCAACGTCAAATCAGATTTTTCGGACTCAAGCATGTTGAATGACTGCATCATACAAGGCATCGAAGGCCTGGCCTTCCTCTCTAGGCCATTGCTTCAAATCTAGTCTAGGTTAGGAGCAACTACTCATGGTTACTTTGGCTGTGAACAGTCTGCGCTTGTAACCAGGAAGGTTTCGAAGCAGAGGGACTGCGAAGTTCAGCTCTGGATCTGAACATCCCCGGGGTGGGATCGATCTAGCTTTTCTTTTGTAGTCCGTCTGCCCCGTGCCTTAAAAAATCGAACATCAGAGGCTCCAGAGGGGGAGCCAGAGCAGAGTGTAACTACTAATGCATCCCACCAGCAGCTCTCAGAGTATCACAATATTACTGCCAGGCTGACCTGCCTCACATGAGCAGTGCTACTCCAAGGAGGTGCAGACCATGGAACCGACACCTCCCAGTAGGCCCTATCCCATGCTGATCAAAGGGAATGTCCCCAATGGCAGCATAATAGGATATTGCTGGGGAAAGCCTGCTCTGGTCACCATGTAGCCTCTGATGGGCACCTCTTTATTTAAGGGGTCAGCAGGGGCTAGGGGCTCTCCTGCTGTGCATGTGAGTCCTGTTCATGCTGGCATATCCAATGCAAAATAAGGTGGTTAGGGTCAGGTCATCTTTGTTTTGGAGGGGACGCATTGGGTCCAGAATCCTACTAAAAATGATAGGAAGATACAAGAGTTTAATCCAACTGATGTGAGAGAGAGAGAGAGGTTATTCTGACATTGCTTTGCTTTTACATTCAATTGTCTATTTGCTTTATCTATTGTTACAGGTAATAACTATGATTACAGTGAGGGGGAATTCCACTTTACTTTCTACAGGCAACTTTCTCTCCTGATTGTGGGTCACACATGGCAATATAGGGGGAGGGGGAGTGTCGAGCTGTCACTTGTCTAAATTAGACTTGTAAATGTTTCTTATTCTGGACACCAGGGCTCCAGGAATGCACCAAGAAAAGTCAGATGCATCATTGGCCGTGCTTGGAGCCTGTCTGAAACAAGGCTACACTTAGACTTCGCCACTACCATGGGTAAGGAAATACAGGGCATGATATTGGAGGCAGCTGGCACCCTGCTAATGCCCAAGGAGAAGCTTACGAGATTTCTCACAGCTACATCCCTTAAGAAGAGGTACTTGCCAAGAGGAACAGATTCAGGGATCATCATCTTTGGTGCCCCTATACTAACTACAGGGGTGAAGGAGGAGCATCTACCACCTTGACTCGTTCATTGGGACCGAGCAGACTTCTAGAACAAGTTGCTGACAGCCACCAAACCCACTTCCACGTGTACATGACCATCTTTAGCTAAGTGAGGAGTTGAATAGGAGTTCAAGACAGGGTGTATTACTTGCACTGACATGATACAGTCCTGCTTTAAGAATCCTGTATTAGAGACTGCTGCCATTGTCTTGATTCTTAATGTTACCCTCTCATTGTACAATTAAATCAGAGTTGAAAACCAGGGGCTGTGTGAAAGTATGGCTCTAAAGGGTTTCATAGTGCTTAGTTCAGGGCAAGATGACTATACCTGTAAAACAAGGTTTTTAAGTCTATTTACTTTCAGCCCTGCTGTAGGAAGTCTTTCACTCTTAGTAATCTGTCTGTGTGTTCATTTATGGAAGACTTACTGTCTTCACGTAACCCTTAAGCAAATGAAGTACATAGCTGAGCAACTCACTTAACCAGCTGTGCAAAGTCTCCAAGGTCCTTGCATAGCACTGTCAATATGCCGCACCCCTTGCTGTTCTACTCCTGTTGGCGTAGGTAGCGTCTACACTGAAGCATGACGGCGGTGCCTCAGGATTTCCAGTGTAGACGAGGCTGCACAGCCAGTCAGTGGGACAAGAAGCCAGGGAGGCTAAGTTCTGAGTCTCACTCCCCAAATTAGCCTCTGCCATCACAAGACTAGTTAATAGAGGGGGGAAGGTTTCAGATCAGGAGCATTTGAAAATTCACACAAGTACACCTTAAATTTGGGGATTTTTTTGGGGGGGGGCTATGGGAGCTGAAAGCCTAATAAAGCTTTGGCTAGAGGCACAGTTGTCAGTCAGATGAAATATGATAAGTGTCAATTCATCTGCTCTTTAACAGGGCATTATTAAAGATCCGTGTGCCCAGGAGAGACTTCAGCCTGTAAGTTGTCCTGGTAAAGTGGTGTGAACAGTCAGCCATCTGTCTAGCCCCTCCAATATATGAGAAAGAAAAGACAGGCCAATTAAAGTTTTACTAGGCCCAGCTGGGCTTTTCCTTAGGAGGAACTGTCCCTTCCTTATTACTTGAAACGTCATTCTTTTGTTAATGGGTAGCTAGTTACTTGAATAAATGAAGCTGGCACAATTGCTTTGTTGTTAAACCTAGAACAAACAAACTTTCACTATCCAGTAACAGTTGTTACACTTCTGCAAAGGGATTGAGTAATGTGCTAAACCCAGAACTAAAACTTCCCCAAATCCTGGGATAGGTTAGAGCTGAACTTTCCAGCTTCCCCCTCTCTAGAAAACCCCTATGACGACTTTGGCTCACCTGTTGCTTGTGCGGTGGCTAAAAATGTAGAGGGGGTAGACTTTGTCCAAAGATTTTTCAGAGTAGATAGACCAATGGTCTAGTTGAGGAAACCCTACCTCTAGAGTAGCCAACTCAGGTGGGAGAATTGCCTTCCTTGCTCCCCAACAGAGAGTGCACAGCCTGGCAAGTTCAAATCCCAGCAGATAAAGGGGTAGGGGGAGACTTCTCTCCGGCTCCCTTGGGTGATCCACCTCAAAGCATGAGATCTGAATGTTCATGTCAGAGTTTGCATAGTTACAAGCAGTCGTGTCATAAAAATCACTCAGCCCTTAAAAATGGCCAACCACAGAACTAAAGTGAATCAGTGAAAATGGTATGCCCACCTTTGTGTTACAGTGAGTTAAACTAGGGAGGACTAGATTTGTAATCAGTAAATGGTGATTTCTCTGTCCAAACACAGGGAAAAAAAAATTTCCATTGATAATTGGAATTTACAGCTAGTCTAAGCGAGAGAAATGCTGCTTGGAAACTTGAGTTTGATTTAAGGACATTTACTTTGCATACTTGGACATGTGATGTTGACAGTTTGTTTCTGAATCAACATCTACTGTCATTGTTTGACTCCACCCTCAGAACTTCCTGCACCTGTGAAAGTTTAAAAATCAGGGGTGGGGTGGAAATCCTTAATCCATGATTTTGGGCAACCCTGACCATTTAAATAGACAAATTAGAAATTGCTTAAAAATAAACTGGTATATGTCAAAATTATTAAAAAAAAGAATCAAGTTCAACCAAGTCTGTAGACAGAACATAAATTGATACCACGCCATGTCCTAGGGCTGTCTGCCTTTTATATGGCCTGTGGCTGAGAGAATTTAGCCATTCAGTTTCTCCATCAAGATAAAGGTTTAGCTAAGGTCTGAGAAGCAAGGATAGACCAACTGCTAAGATATAGTATTTGGTATGCTAAAGCAGACCTTGGTGCAATATTCTGCATAAATTTAATGGGCCATCAGATTGGGTAGATTAGAAGAAAACCACACAAATTGTAGAGCACCAGGTTAATGATGATAGCTGCTGTGTGCCAGTTCCATATAACCGCTCTAGTATTCTCTCTATCAGAGAGAATTTGATTTCAGCAGCCTGGAATTTCCAGACTCTAGTAACTGGAGAACAGTTTAGGGGGGAGGGGTTGTCTATGTCAATTCTCAGGTGACAAGCCATTGCTGTGGGAGGGGATGAAGCTGGGATTTCTCCAAGGCTGCTCTTCCACGACCTTTGTTGGGGGGAGGGATAGCTCAGTGGTTTGAGCATTGGCCTGCTAAACCCAGGGTTGTGAGTTCAATCCTTGAGGGGGCTACTTAGGGATCTGGGGCAAAATCAGTACTTGGTCCTGCTAGTGAAGGCAGGGGGTTGGACTTGATGACCTTTCAAGGTCCCTTCCAGTTCTAGGAGATAAATAAGTTAATGGAGATATCCTATTTATTTATATAATTCTCCACGTAGTGGGGAGCTTCAGATTTCAGGCCCCATAGCTGCTCTGGCAGCTATAAGGGAAGAGAAACAATCTCTTCCTCCTCCACTCCCATAGCAGGATGTCTTGGGAGACTATGTGGGTGGCTGAGGAAGGAAGGAGTGCTATTCTACCTTTTCTCCAGCCTCCTGGCTGCTGCACTAGGTATGCTTGCACAGCTCCACTCCTCCCTCAGCTTTCTGGCTCTTGAGTAGGGGGTGTCTGCTACTCTATCCCTCCTGCAGTCTCCCCTTTTGGGCCTTCCTACCTAATGACTAGACTGATGCTTGTCACTTTCACATTGACCACAGGCTTCTAAACAGCAGCAGTGAAACTGACAAGAAGGGGGTTCATTTTCACTATGGGCAGCTTGAGAGAACTCTGAGCTGTAGACTCCAGAGCCATCTGTCTGCAGACTCAGGATGACAATACTGCATTGATTCACACACCATTATCAATCAGAAAGTGTCCTGAATAGCAAGAATAGATTTTTTTTTAAGTTTAGATTCTGCAGAAACTGATAGTTCTTTCCCTCTGATTTTTCAAACCCAGCTAAAAAGAACCTGCCTAATGCAAGTGTTGATGAAGACAGGTAATCGGTGGATTAACAGAACAACAAGCGCTACACCAAGACTAAAATGTATCATTCAAAAAAATCAGCAGCAAAAGTTAAACTCATTGGGCCAAATTATGCCCGGGTGAATTTGGCCCATTTGTTCCAGTAAGTGAGAAATCTGACTGATTGCACAAATGCATTCTGGGTGTGGTGCTCTATCATTGAGAGACAGATCTTTAAAACTATTCGATTACAGGCTTTTCCAGTAAGACATCCCCTATTCTAAAGTGTTGCAATTTTCATGCTTAGATTTCAAAATGTGGAACTCTGGCAGGTAAATCACTATTGTCCCCATTTTACAGATGACAAAACCAAGGCCAAACAAAAACTTAGGTGCTGCTGCTTCTGCCACTAGGTGCCCTGATTCATAGCCCAATACCGTCTCTGTTGCACCACATGTCCTAGTCATGCAAGGAAATGCTACAGCGTTACACAATCGTTATTGAAAGTTAAACTAGTATTGATTTATGTCCATGAAAATCAAGTCACACGAGGCTTACAATCTCTCGGCTTGTTCCCAAGAGGGCTGAGCATCTGTAACTCATATTGAAGTCAGGGGGAGATGCTGTAATTCACCAATGCTCTGGATCAACCGCAGAAACAGCACTGCCGAAGATATTAGATGTAATAAACACAGGGAAGTAAGTAATTCATTGCCATTAAGCTATACCCAGATACAGGTAATCAAATATATGGGGGGAAAAGCAATTGAGCAGGTGGCTTAAATACAGAGCAGAGTTGGGAAAGATGGAGCTGGCAGCTCTGTGTGGTTTCATTAAGTACAGAATCAGAGTAAGATGCATGATAAAGGAAAATTAAGGTAAACAGGTAATTAAGATAATTAAGCGTCCCTACAACAGTGCTAGCAAGTTCTGAAGGTCAGTGAATGTCAAGGATTATTAGTTTCACAGTAATGAACTCGGCTGAGACATGGCATTGCTGCCTGTTGCCAGGGCCTCAAAGTGCTCAAGTCAAAGCCACTAGAAGTTGGAGGTGCTCAGATATGAAACCCAGGAGGGACAGAGCAGATGTCTGTAATGAAGGGGTCATCCTGAATTGAAACGGATCTTTGTTTTGTGTACCACTCCCAGGGGGTTCTTCACCATTGTAAAAAGATGCCCTGCAGCTTCATGTTTAGCGTACGCACTAGGGATACAACTATAAGTCCTTTAAAGCGCTTCCATGGTCAATGAAATTGAACTAGCTGCATTAGGGTGAAGACTTTCCAGAGCCTTAGGGCGCTGCTCAAGCCCCAAACCCCACAGCAGTCAGCTGAAATGGATACCATTACGCAGTGGAGATTTGCTCTCCGGGGTGAGGAGCTTACTGATGGTTTCCTGTCCTGTTAGGAGGTCTCTTTGAGGGCCAGCCCTTCAGGGGCATATGAAGGGATATTCAAGCCCATACCTTCCTCTGAGCCCAATCCTACTGTCTTTGCTCATCTAAGTACTTCTGTGGCGTCCGTCACCACCCCAGTAACTGATGGGAGGTAGGGAAGTATTTGCATTTTACAGCTGGGGAAGTGAAGGACAGATCCGTTAAGTGCTAGATTCACAAAGGGACTTAAAACCCAACATTTAGGCCCCACCAACATACCCAAAATCCCCACTCAGCTGCTGCTTGCTCCTCTAGGAGCCTAGCGGCCCCTATGTTTCCACTGGTAGGCATGGGGTCTCCACGGGAGCTGCTTGGAGCCCCTGCTCGTGCCTAAGCCCTGAAGGGATTTGGGGGGTAGGTGTGCATCCCTGGAATACCCAAGTATCCAGGGGCAAGAGCCCCAATCACCAGGCTACAGTCTCACTGAATACAAAGTAGAACAGTTTCAACCACAGAGATTGAGACGCCCACCGCGCAACACCCCATAGCCGGGTGGGATGGGCATTTTCCTAGGTTCAAGTTTCTGCTCCAGATAAGGTAGCTCTGGGATTTGAAAACAGGACTCCCACATCCCAGGGGAGTGCCCTGCCCCATGGCTATTGGCTGTATTGGGGTGCATCTGTCTGTCTCTCCTCCTCCCACGCCCCAGAAAAATGGATGACCTGGTTGAGAAGGCTAATTCCAGGAGAGAGATCATGGCTGAGACTCCCCAGTGAGGTTAGACAC